AGGGGTCCTCCATAATTTTTAAAAGTGGGAAGGGGTCCTCCATAATTTTTAAAAGTGGGAAGGGGTCCTGAGAGAAAAAAGTTTAAGAAACAGTGACCTAAGGAAATGTTACAGTAGGAATTTGAAGGAGACTCCCACTTTTTCTCCCTCTAGTAACAGGCAAAAGTCATACAGGTAGTCCTCGCTTACTGACCACAACTGGGACCAGCAGCTTAAGTGAAGCAGTTGCTAAATGTGACTGTACTTATGACCTTACTTCAGCTTTCCTTTGCTTTAGACACCTGCAAAGGTTGTAAATGTGACGATTGGTCGCAAAGTTACTTTTTCATCACCATTGTAATGTGAATGGTCACTAGAGGTAGTTGCTAAATGAGGACTACCTGTATTCCTTCTGTTCTATGAACCGCAGAGCATATAAATATTACACACATATTTTGATCTTTTGGCACGCGCACACAGACATGTAAATTGGTCCCACAAAGTAGTATAATTTTCTCCAACAGCTGTGTTATGCAAAATTGCCATCATTTAGCATACATTTTAAAAAGTATAAATTCTGAAAAAAATTGGATAGCAATTGTATCTATTTTCTTAAAGTAAAATGTCATAACTTCCTTTTTAACTTTTTAACATTACTTTGCAGGATTTTTCATTTTTATTTTTTATTGTGTTGCAAAGGAGAATGTTCGCAAACAGTGGAGAAGGTATTTGTGTTGTGGAAAATACCGGCTGGCTGAAAATTCAGGTAAATATTAAAAGGCTGTTGTTTGTGTTTAGTCATGCAGTATATCGATACAATGATTTGACGTTGCCTTACTTGAGCATAAAACTGTTTTATTTTTGTTGATACTTCAGCCCTCTGTGTCCTTCCATGACCCCATTTGGTCCCCCCTCCCCCGTTCTCCTAAGTGGCTTTCAGAGGGTATAGCTGGAAGAAGGGCCAGAAATGGGGGTGGTAGGAGGTAGGGACCATTGTATAAATGGCTGAGTTTTAATGATTCACCTACTCAGTTTATGTTTTTCTCAAATAAATGTGGTAATTGAAGTCAGATTAACTTGTTCCATTATGTATTGTTTCTGTTGAAGAAAATGCATGCTATTTTTAGTTTTCATGATTGTAGAAACCCTTATACAATTTTTCTCAGATTTAAGATGGCCTAGCAGAGCAACCCAGCAATTCTCTCCTCATGCCAAAATGCTGTATTTCATTTCTCTAGCTGCAGCAGCAAGGCAGAAATGAGGGTAGAAAAACAGTTGGTCTCTCTGGTCTCTTCCAGGGCCATTTATTTTTCACTTATTTTCTTACCTTTATAAATTATGGGAGGAAAAAGAGTTAGATCAGCCAAATGGCTTGTTTAAATTTTGCTTTGGGTTGTAGATAGGATGGAGTAGGATAATTTAGAGCCTTGAGTTCTTGAGCCATTCCCTATTTACACATGACACGCTCCCTTTGGGGTTTTATACGTTTCAGATATCCCAACCTCAAAAAAAGCTAGCTTCAAAAGCTGTCAAGGAAATTTAAGAACAGAGCTAATCTGATTCTTCCTGAACATAGCTGCCAGGGGAAGCAAACGGGAGAAGTGTCATGATACAAAGAGTACAACTTAAATACTTGCATCAGATGCTAGATACAAGAATGTAAGGGTGGAGTTTGTGCCATTACATCACTGCATGCACACGATCATTTTGATGCAGTTTAGGTTTGCTGGTATGCTTACGCTTAGCAGCACGAGGGTTGGGGGGGGTAGAGGGAGGGGGGAGCAGGAAGGTCAGGACTGATTAAAGAAGCCACCCCTTTTCTACCTGTATTGTGTGAGTGTGCGCGCACACACACACAAGTGGAGAGTTTGTGCCATGATACGACAACCCTGTTTTTGTCATTCTGACAAAAGTAGGAGAATCCTACAGACCCCACTGGGAATCTTTAAATTAGACACAACTTTCAATTTAGTACTTGGATGTTAACATATACCACATTATGTTCTGTAATCTTTATTCTACTGTAGATTGGAGTAGAACTGCTACTAATGGTTTAAGGAAGCAAAATGTTAACCAAGGTGTCTCCAATTCTTCACATTCTTTGCAATCCAACAGTAACTCTACTAATTCCACGTCAATGCTAATGAGTAATGATTATTCTGTGCACACAAATGGTAATGGTATGTATGTTAAAGTATTCTGCTTTCTAAGCAACAGTATGTTTAATGTGGGCTGTACAAAATAAGATAAAGAATGGATCCATTGTTTAATGGATACGGCCAGATTAACGTCCTTGTAAGGCCAAACCATTTCTGTTTCATAGATTGTTTGGTGGATGCATTTTTATAGGTGTACCAAATTTTATGGATAGATGGGTAAAAGAAATATTTGAATGTACATCTGTGTCATTATGATATGTTCATCAAAGCACATTATGATATTTTGGCCACTACTATGTGCTGCTACCATATTTATGGTAGCATGGTTAATAGGGCAGGACAGTGTTTTGAATTTGAAAGCAACAAGGTCTTTGGAGCATGCAAGGGTATAACACCTGTCTGCAAATCCTTAATCCAAATGCATTTTTCCTAGGATTATGCAGAGGGAAAAGAGGCAATTCCTTTAAGGGGTTGCAGATAGGTGCTACATTTGTGCCTCTTGTGTCTTCTGGAGAGCCTTTATGTTACAGAGAAAAACATGGCTGTTTTTTTCAAAGGCTGTGTAGTTTCAGTAGTCAGTAGACACAGGAACTTCTATGCCTACTGCATAACTGCCCAGAGTCATTGGGAGACAGGGAGTACACAAATTTAATAATAAATATAAATAAATGAATAAATAAATAATATAGTCCTGAAAGTAGGATCAACATCCTAATAAGCACTTAGTGTGTTATATTCATACAGGATAGATTCATAGTTCTCAGCATCAACTGTTTATTCAGACTGATTGTGTTATTTAATGATTTGTGGGTCTGCTTTAGATGGTATGCTTGGAGTAGCTGCTTAAAAAGATTCATTGACTGTAATATGTGAAATAGGCCCATTCCCACTTTTCAGTTAAGTCCTGATTTCTAGGGAAAGCATTGCTGTGATTAATAGGAGATCTGGATACATATTTAGGGGCCAGTTTACATTGTTTGAGAGTTGCTTCCACATGACATATATTTCACATGATTGTGAACCTACAGTATACAAACAGAATGTGGAAAGGCCCCTCTGTGACTTGATTGGGTGTACCTACCACACCAAAGGAAAACAGTACTGAGGCCCAGTGACTTACTATTGCTACATCCTAACAAACTTTTTTTTTTAATTTTACATTTCAGGAAATATCTCTCGTGAAAAAAATGGTGTTTCTTTCCATGTGCAGAACAGTGATGTGCAGCTTCCTGAGTTTTCAGTAAAACAGCATGAAAACAATGATATATCCCATAAAAAGTCTTGCATTTCACTGAGGAGGACTTCCAAAAGAAAGAGCCTGCAGTTTATTGAACCAATATGACTTTTAAAATATTTTCCATTATTTTACCAAGTAATATGCAGGTTTATTTTAACTGTTTTACTTAATGTGAGAAGAACAAAAAAGAAAAAGTCATTATTTAATGTACAGGAGCAAAACTTCAAGGTGTCAAAGACTCTATAATGTTATCTTCCTCTTTTTAATGCCAGTGATAGACATTAAGAACATACTTTAAACATAGCTTTGTGGCTGCAAAACATGAACAACTGCGTATCTGCTTCTTCCCCACCCCAGTGATGGGTTTTAGAAGTTTTTTTTTACGTACTTGATAGAGTTACAAATAGCTCAAACCATAATGCAATAATGCTGTGTTAACATAGATACAAACTAAACTCTGAAAAAGATGCTAATATTGTCTTTCTGAATAATGTATGTGGTATCTGTAACTCCCTTTTATCAGGTTGTGGTCACAGACATCTTATTTTTATATAGAGAAAACAGTATCTGTCTTTAATTATCCAGTAATTTTATATTTATTTCTTATAAATTAATGTTAATATTACTTTGTATAAAAATAACTGCGCACTTTTGAAGTTTTACTGTAATTATTGTACAAACCTGGAATGCTTTATAATACTGGCATACAAATCCAGCCCTATCTGTATATAACTTTAAAATGGTGAAGTACAGTTTAACAAGCCATCCATATATAAATGTGAGTTACACAACAATGAAAACTGCTTGCTTTATTATGGCTGGTGGTGGGCCTCCCCGGCCTGTGGGCGGGGTTCTGGGAGCCCCCCCCCCCCGCCCCTTTCCGCCCGGCGAAACATCGCCCCCACA